GTGGATTATGCAAGAATCATCAAGACACTTGCAGTTGCACGAGCGGTCTAATTCATCAAGGACGTGATTGTTGCTTTGTTGCATACAAAGTTGGTGTTGTTCTTCAAAATCTCGATTGTTGCTGTGGTATTCAACGAGGAACAACTTAGTCATCAGCAATCACTAGTTTGGAGGCGGATCATCATAATTCTTTTGGATCAAGGAGGCAATCTATACGGGTCTCCAAACTAACATCATCGAAGAGGATTTATTCAAGAATCTCGACCAGATCACGTGGGGCATCATCAACGCTGTGGCCTCAACTTATTCAAAAACGGAGCACTCCACGTGATAAATCATCGGTAGAATTGGCGAATCAACGAACCAAGGAATCTCTAGGAACTTCAGCAACAGCACGGCAACGTAGGCATCTATTGTCATCGCATCTGAACGTAAGCTCAATTTATTACCGATTCCTATCTAGTCCTTCATCTATTTACCTCATTAAACCATGTCGGCTGACGATCTCAAAAAACTAAAAAACAGGCGTTCGCTCCTTAAACGAAAGGTTACTACGTTTAGCACGTTTATAGAAACCGTGACTGCTAGCGATTATGACGATGTGCAATTTAGACTAAGTTCCGTAGAACCGTTATTAGATCAGTTTGATGAAGTTGCATTAGACATACAAGCTATTCAGGACACAACGGAGCATTCTGATTATCGCGATGAGTTTGAAAGCAAATATTATGAAGTCGTAAGAAGGGCGCGTAAATTTTTGAAGGATAACAACCCCTCAGACGGGATTAATAATCGCCCAGCTAGACACAACGGCAGCGAGCCAAACAATGTTAGGTTACCACGAATCGATTTGCCCACTTTCAACGGTAAATACGAGGCGTGGACGTGTTTTCATGACACATTCAAATCAATGGTTCATGACAAAACACAAATCGCGACTATCGAGAAATTTTATTATCTACGATCATGCTTAAAGGAAGAGGCCGCATTAGTCATCCAGTCTTTGGAAACCACCGAAAGCAATTATAACATAGCCTGGTCTCTCCTAATCGAACGTTACGATAACAAACGGGTTATCGTACACAATCATTTAAAAAATCTACTTGAATTACCAGCATCTACGAAGGAAAATCCTGTTTATTTGAGGCAGATGCTGGATAACATTAATACTCATACTCGTGCTTTAAAATCGTTGGGTCTCAAAGTTGATAGTTGGGATGCCATAATTATCTATTGCATGACTAGCAAGCTAGATAGAATCTCGCATCAGGAGTGGGAAAAGAGCAATACCGGAAAGGAACTTCCAGAATTAGACAGTTTCATTGAATTCTTGAAAACGCGATGTCAAATTCTCGAGGCCACGCAACCTCAGATGCAGCCGCATCAAGGCTCATCCAATGTCAAGGGTTCAAATGGGGCTGGCAAACGCAACCTCAACGTAACTACTCAACGAGACTTTTGTCATTTTTGTAAGGGGGAACACAAGCTTTACGCATGCGAGAAATTTGTGAAATTAGGGCAACAAGAGAAATATGAGTTCGTAAAGAAGGAAAGGCTTTGCTTCAACTGCTTGCGGAAGAATCACACAACCGAAAAATGTACATGTAGGTCGTGCAAAAAGTGTAACCGAAAACATCATACCATACTACATTTTGAACGGCAATCCTCTACCGAAAATAGCCCTAGCGTTGATCCCGTTAATAGCTTGCAAGTGAGTTGTCCTGCTCAAGTATTGCTAGCCACCGCGAAAATTCATTTTCATGACAAATACAACAATCAGCACACGGCACGTGTGTTATTAGATAGCGGTGCGCAGGCTCATTTCATTACCGAACGATTTGCAAAATTGCTAAAATTACCGCGTAATAGAGTCAACATTCCGGTTACTACGCTGAACCAATCGCAAACAAACGTGATTCACAGTATTGCTACTAAAATATCATCTAGATTAAACAATTACGAAAAGAAGGTCTCGCTTCTAGTAGTTCCTAATATAACCGAACCTTTGCCGTCGTATACTATTAACGTAAACGAGTTGCACATACCGCACAATTTGCCGCTTGCGGATCCCACCTTTTATCAGACTTCCGAAATCGACGCACTTATTGGAGCGGAAGTCTACTTTAAGATCGATTGTGCTGGTAGGATTCCCATCAATAATACTGATGCTGTCCTTTTAAAAACGAAATTCGGATGGGTAGTGGGTGGTGGTATTAACACGCAGGAGCGACCCGTTAGTGTCTCATATAATCATTCGATCAGCTCTGTTTCTCAAGACATTTCCAGATTTTGGGAACTACAAGAAATTCCCGAAACAAAATTTTTATCGCAGGAAGAAGAAGAAGTAGAGCAGCATTTCTTAGATAATTTCAGACGTGATCGCAATGGTAGATGCGTAGTTAAAATCCCGTTCAATAGCAAAATTCGTAAGCTTGAAAACAATTATCAACTAGCATTAAAGCAATTTCATAGTATTGAGCGCAAACTCGGCAAAAATCCCAAGCTCAAGGAACAATACTGCACGTTTATGCAGGAGTACGAGACCCTCGAGCACATGTCGCTTTCCAAGCATGAAGAACCAGAGAATTTCATACCTCACCACGCGATTTTTAAGGATGAGGCTATCAGAGTAGTGTTTAACGCTTCAGTAATGATGAATGGCCTGTCTTTCAATCAAGCCCAAAAAATCGGTCCAACAATTCAGGACGACATTTTTTCTATCCTAACCAGGGCGCGCTTGCACAAAATCTTATTAGTCGCTGACATCACGAAAATGTACAGNCGCGATTTTTACGTCGACGATTTAATGACGGGGGCGAACAGTTTAGAAGATGCTTTAGTGTTAAGAGATCAGATGAATAACTTATTAAAAACTGCTTGTCTCGAGCTGAGAAAATGGTCATCCAATGATAGTCGAGTAATAGACTCCTTGCCCTCGGAATTAACTAACGTTAAATTATTCGATGATCCGAGTGGTTCAATAAAAACTTTAGGCATAAGATGGAATCCCAGACAGGATCATTTATTCTATTCCGTTAAGCTGGACACTGAAATGAAAGAACGCGTAACAAAACGAACCATCCTATCTCGGATTGCGCAACTATTCGACCCCGTAGGTTTACTCGGTCCCATTATCGTGAAGGCCAAACTTATTGTGCAATCGATATGGAAGGAAAAATTAGATTGGGACGCATCGGTACCCCTTGAGATTCATAATCAGTGGCTATATTAC